ACCTAAGGTTGAGTAAGGACAGTGTTGACATGTAGTGGGGTTGTAAACCATTGTCATAGGGCAACATGTGTACTAACTGTTTAATGAGAAACTATTTTGTTCTGTAAACCTTCATCTAAAGTGAGAATAGCAGCACGACTGGAAGAACGTAGTCAGTGTCACCGAACTGTGCATGTAGAAATTTTTGAAATGGTGCATCTTTGGCTATGCATATTTTCACCAAAAAAAAAAAACGGTCGAGAAGGGAGAGGGTTAACATGTCATGGGGTTGTTAACCAACGACATAAAACAATATGTGTACTACTGTTTAATGAAAAACTATTTGTTCTGTAAACCTTCACCTAAAGTACAATAAAAAAAAAAGAGAGAGAGAGAAGAGACTGAAAAGGTAATTTAAAAAAAAAAAAAAAAAAGCCCTGGCTCAGATGGCTTCACTGGTGAATTCTACTGAACATTCAGAGAAGAGCTTACGGCAGTACTACCCAAATTATTTCAGAACGTAGAAAATGAAAGGATAGTTCCAAATTTATTCTATGAAGCCAGCATAACCCTGATACCAAAACAGGCAAAGACACCACAAAAAAAAGAAAATTACAGACCAATATCTCTCATGAATATAGATGCAAAAATTCTCAACAAAATTCTAGCCAACAGAATTCAGCATCACATCAAAAAAATAATACACCACAACCAACTAGAGTTCATACCAGGGCATGCAAGGATGGCTGAACATTAGAAAATCAATCAACGTAATATAAAATAAAAGAATCACACGATATTCCCAATAGACGCAGAAAAGGCATTTGACAAAGTCCAACACCCATTCCTGACAAAAACTCTCAATAAAATAGACACAGAAGGGAAATTCCTCAACATAATAAACGGCATGTATACAAAACCAACAGCCAATGTTGATCTTAATGGATAGAGGCTGAAAACATTCCTCTTGAGAACAGGAACAAGAAAAGGATGCCCTTTATCAGCACTCCTATTTAACATTGTGCTGGAAGTCCTAGCTAGAGCAATAGGGTAAGAAAAAGAAATAAAGGGCATCCAAATTGGTAATGAAGAAGTAAAACTGTCCCTATTTGCAGATGATACGATACTATATATGGAAAACCCAAAATACTCCAAGAGAAAACTACTAGAACTAATAGAAAGATTCCACAGAGTAGCACGATACAAGATAAACATAAAAAAATCAGTTGGATTCCTATACACCAACAAAAAGAATGAGGAAAAGGAAATCAGGAAAACAATATCATTTGTAATAGCCCCTAAAAAATAAAACAGGAATAAATCTAACCAGGGATGTAAAAGACCTATACAAAGAAAACTACAAAACACTACTGCAAGAAACCAAAAGGATCTACATAAATGAAAAAACATACCATGCTGATGGATAGGCAGACTCAATATTGTGAAAATGACAATTCTACCCAGAGCTATCTACAAATACAATGCAATGCCGACTCAAACACCAACAACATTCTTTAAAGAGATGGAAAAAACAATCATTAACTTCATACAGAAAGGGAAGAGGCCCTGGATAAGTAAAGCATTATTGAAGAAGAATAAAGTAGGACTTGCACTACCTGGCCTCAGAACCTACTATACAGCTATAGCTGTCAAAACAGCCCGGTACTGGTATAATGACAGATACAGTGACCAATGGGACAGAATCGAGAACTCAGATGTAAATTCATCCACCTATGGTCACCTGATCTTCGACAAGGGCCCAAAGTCCATCAAATGGGGAAAAGACAGTCTCTTTAACAAATGGTGCTAGCAAAATTGGATGTCCATCTGCAACAAAATGAAACAGGACCCATACCTCACACCATACACAAAAACTAATTCAAAATGGATCAAAGACCTAAATACAAACCCGAAAACTATAAAGATCATAAAAGAAAAAATAGGATCAACACTATAGACCCTAATACATGGCATTAACAGGATACAAACCGTAACTAACAACATACAAACTCCAGCAGATAAGCTAGATAACTAGGGCCTTCTAAAAATTAAACACTTATGCTCATCAAAAGACTTCACCAAAAGAGAACCGACAGACTAGGAAAAAATTTTGGCTATTACAAATCTGACAAAGGTCTAATCTCTAAAATTTATAGGAAAATCCAACACCTCTACAACAAAAAGACAAACAATCCAATTAAAAAATAGACAAAGGAAACAAACAGACACTTCACCAAAGAAGACATTCAAGTGACTGAGGAAATGCTCGTGATCGATAGCTATTATAGAAATGCAAATCAAAACCACAATAAGATACCACCCCACCCCTGCATTACTGGCACGAATCAAAAAAACAGAAAATAACCAATGCTGGAGAGGCTGCAGGGAGACTGGAACTCTTATGCACTACAGGTGGGAATGCAAAATGGTACAACCATTTAGGAAAACGATACGGCGCTTCTTTAGAAACCTAGATATATAAGTACCATATGATCCAGCAATCCCACTCCTAGGAATACACCCTAGAGAGATAAGAGCCATCACACGAATAGATATATGCACACCAACATTCACTGCAGCATTGTTCACAATAGCAAAAAAATGGAAACCACCTAGATGCCCATCAAGAGATGAATGGATAAACAAACTATGGTACATACATACAATGGAGTACTATGCAATGATAAAGAACAATGATAAATCTGCGAAGCCATCTCATAACATGGATGAATCTGGAGGATATTATGCTGAGTGAAATAAATCAATCACAAAAGGACAAATATTGTATGAGACCACTACTACAAAAACTCATGAAAACGTTTATACACTGTCTTAGTCATCTAGAGCTGCTCCAACAGAAATACCACAAGTGGATGGTTTTAACAAAGAGAAATTTATTCTCTCATAGTCCAGTAGGCTACAAGCCCAAATTCAGGGCATCAGCACCAGGGGAACGCTTTCTCCATCGGCTCTGGAGGAAGGTCCATGTCATCAATCTTCCTTTGGTCTGGGAGCATCTCTGCGCAGGAACCTCAGGTCCAAAGGACTCACTCTGCTCCCGGCACTACTTTCTTGGTGGCATGAGGTTCCCATGTGTCTCTGCTCGCTTCTCTCTTTTATATCTCAAAAGAGATTGCATTAAGACACTAATCTTGTGAATCAACCTCATCAGTATAACCTCATCACAGTGACAGAATTTACAACACATAAGGAGATCACATATAATCTCATCATAGTGATAGAGTTTACAACACATAAAGAAATCACATCAGATAACACAATCATACAATACTGGGAATCATGACCCAGCCAAGCTGACAGGTAGTTTTGGGGGACACAACTCAATCCATGACATACACAAAAAGAAACAATCTTTGATGGTTATGAGGGACAGGAGGGGTGGTGGTGGGAAAATACTAAACAGACAATAGATAAGTGGTAACTGGTGAAGGGGAAGACTGGACACGATACTGGGGAAGCCAGCACAACTTGTTCAGGGTAAGATCATGGAACCTCCATGGACAAATCCAAACTCCCTGAGGGCCCGAATTGCTGGGCTGAGGGCTATGGGGACCATGGTCTCAGGGAACATCTAGCTCAATTGGTATAACATAGTTTATAAAGAAAATGTTCCAAATTCTACTTTGATGAGTGGCGTCTGAGATCTTAAAAGCATGTGAGCAGCCATACTCCACTGGTCTCACCCCTTCAAGAGCAAGCGAAAATGAAGAAAAGTAAAGACACAAGGGAAAGATCAGTCCATAAGACTAACAGACCACAACTGCCACGGCCTCCACCAGACTGAGTCCAGTACAACCAGATGGTGCCTGGCTACCACCGACTTATCTGACAGGAAAACACAATAGAGGGTCCCGGACAGAGCTGGAGAAAAATGTAGAACAAAATTCTAACTCAAAAAAAGACCAGAGTTACTGGCCTGACAGTCTGGAGAAACCCTGAGAGTATGGCCCCTGGACATCCTTTTAGCTCAGTAATGAAGTCCACTCAGATGTTCACCTTTTAGCCAAAGATTAGGCAGACCCATAGGACAAAATGAGACTAAAGTGGCACACCAGCCCATGGACAAGGACTAGAAGGGAGGAGGGGATAGCAAAGCTGGTAACAGGGAACCCAAGGTCAAGAAGGGAGAGTAATGACATGTCATGGCGTTGTTAACCAATGTCATAAAACAATGTATGTACTGTTAAATAATGAGAAGCAAGTTTGTTCTGTAAACCTTGAAGTACAATTTAAAAGAATTTGAGTCCAATCCCTCACATTCAAAACTGTTCCCCAAAAATGGGAATTCAAAGCGACTATGTTAAGCATCAAAGACAAATGTAATTAAGGCATAATCCTTGCCCTCAAGGAGATTTCGGCATGTTTATTTAAGCAAATGTAAAAACATATTAATATATAAAAATACACAGGGGGTGCTTGTTCTGGGATCATGGTGGGAGAAGTTCCTAACTCTCTCTGGGAATGGAGAGATGGAATATCAGAGAAGACATGAGCTGAACCTTAGAGGATAACAAGGAGTTCAACAGCACAGTGAAGAAAAATTACAAAGGGAAAGCATGCACAAAGTCATGGAAATATGTGAGATCATGTCATATTTGGAAATGGCAAGCATTCAACATGGCATGAGTGTAGAGTTGTGTGATAAACAGAATTCCTTAACATCAGTTTTTCTAACATAAAATCCAGTGGACTCACATACCATAACTGGACATTTTGTTTAAGATGATTCAGGAAGACAGATAACTGAATCTCAGAAGTACACATTTATAGTTTTTTTTTTAAAATCATTATTCCCCTCATTTTTCTAATATTAACTATAAAAGACAAATATTTAAATTTCTTTTTTGTATGTTAACTAAACAATGTATTAACTTAATTAAAAAAAATTCTAAAAAGTAAAGCAAATTACAAAGTACCACAAAAATTTGCTAATACTTTATCAGTTCTACTGGAAAAAACACATTTAAGTGAGAAGGAAATTTTTTTTTTTTTTTTTTTACCTCTGACATCACCACCAGCACAAAAAGCCTTTCCTCCAGTTCCTTTTATAATGATCAGGAGAGTTTCAGGATCTTGTTCCCACTTCTATCCAAATGTAAAAGAAAACAGTATAAGCACATTATAAATTGTTGTTGTTAGCAGTCATCTAGTAGTCCCCCAATTCATGGCAACTCCATGTAAAATAAAATCAGACTACTGTGATCCATAGGTTTTTTACTGGATGATTTTTTTTGGAAGTAGATTGCCAGGCCTTTCTTTCCACATAAATACAAACTCATTAAAAATATATACATATATGCACGTGTGTGTGTGTGTGTGTGTGTGTGTGCGCGCGTGTGTGTGTGTGTATTCTTTTGTAAAGTATACCCATCCAGAAGAGGGAGTTCCAACTTCATTTTCTTTTCTGACATAAATTAGAGGTTATTATTCCAAAAAGGTTGCTAGATGGATACATCAAGGAAGAGATTTCATAACTGAAATTTCAAGATAGCTTAATAAACTTATGTTACATAAACCTATAAATCTGGTGAACAAATTAACCTAAAAATTGTTGACAGAGCAGTAATAACCTGTCTACTGTGGTCATATAGGGCTCTGTCCTACTGATAAATTTATAAGTAACAGAATGAAACCACTTTTGATACTGATCAAATCTGCAAATGACCTGGGGTTGAAAAGGACAGCTAATAAACAAATAGTATGTAAGACTCAAGATCTAAGAGATCCAATAGAAATTCAAAAGGCTAGACCAATGGAGCAAAGGAAAGACTGGTTAAACAGAGACAGAAAAATAGTGGCTCTATAAATTCTACAATCAAGAATAAAAATTTAAATGCACAAAGAAGAGATGTATCTGGACAGATCTGGTTAATGTAAAAGGTTAATGTAAAACCGGAGTACATTAACAGAAATATGGTATTCTAACATGGAAGTTTCTACTCTCTTCCATTCTAGTCCAACTCTAATCTGGAATACTTGGTTTATTTCTAAGTATTTCTAAGTCCCTAGGTGGTTCAAATGGTTAACACACTCAGATGCCAACCAAAAGGTTGGCTGTTCAAGCCCACAGACAGGTGCCTTGGAAGTAACTGCCTGGCAATCTACTCCTGAAAAATCAGACATTGAAAATGCTGTGGAGCACAGTTATACTCTATCACACAAGGGGTCCCCAGAGTCAGAATAAACTCAATGGCAACTGGTTGGTTTATCTGTATCACACTTCAGTCCCAAACAGACACACCAGAATAGAAGACTCATCAAATAAAGAATGATTTAAGAAACTGGTGGTGGTGGGAGAACTAGCATTTGTTCAACACCTATGTGGCAGACCGTATTAGGTATTTACATAAACAAAAAAAAAACAAACCCATTGCCGTGGTGTCAATTCTGACTCATAGTGACCCTACAGGGCAGAGTAGAACTGTCCCATAGGGTTTCCAAGGAGCGGCTGGTGGATCTGAACTGCTGACTTTTTGGGTACTTATATACACTATTGAATCTTCACAATCAGCCTATGAACTATCTCCACTTTACAGATGAAGAAAGTGAGGTATAGAGCAATTAACTTTCCCAACCTACACAGTTAATAACTAGAAATCTGAGTTTCAAATACAAATAGTCTGACTTAAGTCCTATGCACTATGCAGTTTCACTTAGAATATAAAAGTTTATGGCATTCTCTATGACAAGGTGGGTAAGTACTTCCAAACAGTCGTCTTCAAACCAAAAGGCTGTCACGTGGAAAAGATTAGATACGTAGCTTCATGCCCCAAGAGACAGAACCAGTATCACTGGGTAAAAGGTCAGAGAAATAATAAGTAGGAGCAGAGCACAAGCAGAAACTTCTTAGCAAATACTGGCTATATAAAAGTATCTCATGAACTCCTGTCACTAGGGGTGCTCAAGGATAATGGCATAGGGAAGCACTAAGGATTCAAGAACCAAAGGGGGCTTGGGCGCAAATCCCAGACAGTCCCTTTATTTGGGAGAAAAGAACAGAAATGTTAAGATATACTTTTTTAAAAATCCATGTAATTGCCTTAAAGAAAATTACAAACCTTTAACTGTGGATAAATCTGCCGAACCATATTAAAAGTCAGTGTATTTAGTAACTTGGGTCTGTTTAGTGTGATCACTCCTGCACAACCTTTTCTTTCCAATAGTACCTCTTCTGCTGCATTTGTGTGTTTGGACATTGCCTGTGTAAACAAAGAATAATTTTATGATAAAATTCATTAAGCTTTTGTTATAAGCCAACATCAAAACATATACAAGTCAAATGAGAACCTTTCTCATAATGTTAATAGTAACCAAGCAAATAGTTAATGAGGTACAAGCACAGACTTATCATATGACCCAGCAATCACATTCCTCGATATTTACCTAAATGATTTGAAAACGTATGTTCACACAAAAACCTGCACACAAATGTTTACAGCACCTCAGGGAGAGGAGAGGACTGATGAAAAGTCTGATATTTTAAGGGAAGACTATTCTGCAAGATATTGTAATGGTAGATACATGACATTACCCATTCATCAAAACCCGTAAAACTGTACAACACAAAGTATGAACCCTAGTGTAAACTATGGACTTTAGTTAATAATGTATCAATACTGGTTCATTAGCTGTAACAAAGGAAATACACTAATGCAAGATGTTAACAATAGGAGAACTGTGTACAGAGGAAGGAGGAGGTATATGGGAACTCTGTACTTCTTGCACAATTTTCTATGAATCTAAAACTGCTCAAAAAAATAAAGTGCATTATTTTCAAAAAACCTAAATAGCACATATTATTAACTAAAATCTAATAAAAACTCAGAAGTCAAACAACATTTTTACACAATGTTTAAGTTCTCCTTAATTATGTTGCATATTTGATGTTAGAACTAATATTCATTAAAATTCATCATCAGATTCCTAATAATAATTTATATTCACTTAAAAGGGTTATAGGAGGGAGGGTGAGAGTTATTTACTAACTAGATAGTAGATAAGAATTATCTTAGGTGAAGGAAAGGACAGCACACACTACAGGAGAAGTCAGCACAACTGGACTAAACCAAACCTAAAAAGTTTCCTGAATACAATCAAACACTTTGAGGGACAGAGTAGCAGGGGTAGGGGTCTGGGGACCATGCTTTCACGGGACATCTAGGTCAGCCAGCATAACAAAGCTTATTAAGAAAATGTTCTGCATCCTACTTTGGTGAGTGGCATCTGGGGTCTTAAAAGCTTGCAAGCGGCCATCTAAGATGCATCAATTGGTCCCAACCACCTGGAGTAAAGGAGAATTAAGAACACCAAAGACACAAGGAAAGTATTAGCCCAAGAGACAGAAAGGGCCACATAAACCACGGACTTCAGTCTGAGACCAGAAGAACTAGATGGTGCCTGCTGACCACCAATGACCATGCTGACAGGGAACACACACAGAGTCCTGGACGGATCAGGAGAAAGGTGGGGTGCAGAACTCAAATTCCAGTAAGACCAGACTTAATGGTCTGAGACTGGAGGAACCCCGGAAAGCATGGCCCCTGGATTCTCTATCAACCCAGAACTAAAACAATTTCCAAGGCCAACTCTTCAGACAGGGATTGGACTGGACTGTGGGACATAAAGGGATACTCGTGAGGAGTGTGCCTCTTAGCTCAAGTAGATACAAGAGACTAAATGGGCAGCTTCTGTCTGGAGTTGAGATGGGAAGGCAGACAGGGTTAGGAGCTGGTGAATGGACATGGTGAATTAGGGGTAGAAAGGAGGAGTGTGCTGTCACAATATGGGGAGAGCAATTAGGGTCACATAACAATGTACATATAAATTTTTGTATGGGAGACTAACTTGAAATGTAAACTTCATTTAAACTACAACAATAAACAATGAAAAAGTTGCATCTTTTCAATTTAATTTGAATTTCTCTAATAAGAAACGTAAAACTACAGTTAGATATATTTTTTAACAAAATTGGCAAAGATCAAAAAGTTTGATATCCTGTGATACCCAGAGTGTAAGGGGACAGACATACTGCGGGAGCATAATGTAGGAAAAACAAACAACACATTTTTAAAAGCATACATTCTGACACAGCAATTCCTGTTCCAGAAATTTATCCTATAGTTATACTCACACATGGTCAAAATAAAATGCATACAACGATAGTCTCTGCAGCACTGTTACTGATGAGGTTGGAAATGTTTACTGGTGGGAGGCTGGTTAAATAAATTATGGTACACTCACACAACCAAATGCTATGGAGTATTTTAAAAAAATGAGGCAGCTACCTCTCCATACACTGTATGGAACAATCTCAAGTGCAGACAGTGTGTGTAGCGTGCCACCTATCCCCTGTGTACATGGATACACTCAAATTTGTATACAAAGAAACCTGTGAGAGCCAGAACTCAACGGGACTGTCTTGTTTTTCCGGGTCTCAAAAGTTTTCTGCCTTTGGCAGGGTGCAGTCTTACCACCTTTCTATCGCTCTCTATTAATAGAAAATATTTGTTTTCCTTCTCTGACAGGTTTTTGCCCTACACAAGTTCTGGCTTTCACAGGTTTTACTGTAGATAAAAAAGAAACTGCCAAAATGGTTGCTTCCAGGAAAGGAAACTGGGCATTTGAGAGACAGGGGTAGAAAGATCTATATTTCCCTGTATAGCTCCTTTGAAAGCTTTGAGTTTTGTATCATATGTATGCATTACCTATTCAAAACAATATTTTAAGTAACTTTTTTTTAAAGAGTTATAGATTAGGTTTAAAAGATAACTAAACTGTATAACTTAGAAAACTGTATTTTTACTTTTCTTACCTTGTTGGTACTAAAGAAAAATCGATGGTGAAAGAAAACTATACACAATAATTACAAAAGAAACCAGGCTTCCAAATGACTAGTTTCATTTTGTATAATGTTAACAAAATACAAGAGCCAAAGTTTACTGACCAGGTAAAGGTGAACAGATCTAAATACATATATAATCCAGGACACAAGAAAATTATAATTGACGTCAACAAATACAACTATACCAAACCAAAAAACCAAACCTGTTGCGTCCAGTCGATCCCGACTCATAGTGACACTATAGGACAGAGAAGAACTGCCCTGTAGGAATTCCAACCAAGCAGCTGGTGGATTCGAACTGCCAACCTTTTGGTTAGTAGGGCTCTAATACAACCATAGTGGCCACATAATTGAAAACAAATAACCTTTAAAATTAAGAGTGTTTACATGGGAAGTGTAAAAGAGAAAACACCTTGGTAATATATATCAAAAGAGTCTTTAAAATGTTCTTACTTTGATCACATAATTCTACTTTAGAAATTTATCTTTAAGAAATAAGCAGAAATCTAGTGAAATATTCATATTAGTGTATAATCTGTTAAAAATACACAAATATACACAGAAAAAAAAAGAATGGCCACATATACATCAAATGTAAAGTAATTTTAGGTCACTTTCTTGGTTATTTTCTGTATTTTACAAAATTTTCTACAAAAAGCATAATAAATATTTGGTTATTTAAGGGTCTCTCAGAGAATAAGAAAAAATGGATGTTCGCTGCAATTATGTATAATATCAAAAATATACAATTCAAATGGCCACCAAACACATGAAAAGATGCTCAATATCATTAGCCATCAGAGAGATACACATCAAAACCACAATGAGATACCATTTCACTCCCATTAGAATCGCTAAGATAAAAAAAAGAAAACAAATGTTTGCGAGAATACAGCTGTTATGGAAAATTGTGGCAGTTCCTCAAAAAACTATACAAATAGAACTACCATAGGACCCAGCAATTCCACTCCTAAGTATACACCCAAAAGACTTGAAAGCAGAGACTCAAACAGAGACTTGTACACCAATACTCCCTGCAGCACTATTCACAATAGCCAAAAAGTTAAAACAACCTAAACGTACATCAACAGATGAAAGGATAGACAAAATGCGGTACATATATGCAATGGAATACTACTCAGCCAGTGGCAGAAATGAAGGCTTGATACATGCTACAGTACGGATGGAGCTTTAAGACATTATTCTGAGTGAAATAAGTCAATCACAAAAGGACAAATATTGTATGGCCTCACTTACATAAGAAGACAAGAAACGGCAAATTATACCGTACAGAGACCAAAGTTTATTAATGGTTAGCAGGGACGGAAGGGAGGAGAAAAGGAGGGGTTATTGCTTATGGAGTACTGAGTTTTGGTTTACAGTGATGAAAAAAATCACATTAAGGGCAGAGTTGCACAGCTGATTATCCTAAGCGCTACCAATAAGTTGTAGACCAGTAAAAAGTTGAATTAGCAAAAGTTGAGTGATAAGATATATTTACAGTAGCAACAACAACAAAAGAAAAAGAGTAGATGCTGAGGCTGCTTATGTACAACCAAACACCTCACGGGTTTTGGTTCCTTGGTTTGGAAGTTCAGGGTCGTGGTTTCATGGGACATCCCCAATTAATTGGCCTAATAACCAGTTTAGTGCTTCTATTCTACCTCCTAGCTCCTCGTGTAGTGCCTGGGGTAGTAAAAGCTTGCAAGCAGCCATCCAAGGCACGACAATTGGTCTCTAATTACCTGGAGCAACAGAGTAAGAAGGAGAAGCAGGAATAGAAGGAGAAAATGGAATGTATGGCTGATTGCCTCCATGAACAACTACCTCCTTTGCCATGAGACCAGAAGAACTAGATGGGGCCTGCTACCATTACTGAACATTTTGAACAGTCTATAGAAGAATCCTGATCAAAACGGGGATGATACAGAACAGAGTGTAAAATTCTCATGGACTCTAGACTTTCTGAAACCATGGATGCTGGATGAATCCCTGAAACTACTGCCCCGAGATAATCTTTAAACTTCAAATAAAAAAATATCCCCTGAGGTCTTCTAAAAACCAAACAATAGTTTAGCTTAACTAGTAAAAAATATCCACCTTGAGCATTATGCTCTTTTAAGAACTATCTATATGGGATCCAGTTGACAACGGCAACTCAAAAGATTAGATAGTAACCTGAGGGGGCAGTGAGTTTGTGTTAATGAGAAAGGAGCAACTCAGAAGAGGGTGAAAATGGTTGCACAACTCAAAGAATGCAGAAACTTGAATTGGTGTCATGTTTGGCTGCATATATTCTCAACAACAAAATAAATTTTAAAAATAGATATATAAAATATAGATTTATGACGCATCTATATGTTACACTGTGCAGTTACTGAAAAACATGTCTTTTAATATTTAATAGTATATAATAAAAGGTTCACAATATGATACTAAGTGAAAAAACTGGGTCAAAAACAGCAAATATATATGAGACAAAGAACAAAAGGAAATATACCAAAAATGTTTACAGTGATTAGACTTGGATAGAATCACTGGCTATTTTAAAATTTTTCCTTTATTTTTTATTTCTAAATTTTCACTGGTGATCTTTCACAAAGTTTAAAATAATTTTAAGGTTACTTTTAGAAATTACACCTGTTTCAGTACATGACTTTGGTCACACTGCAACTTTTCAGAAAAATACTTCTGAAAAATGAGCGTGGTCTATAAACACATGAAACACTCAGCATAATTTGTCATTTAAAACAAACAAACAAAACCGTTTGCTGTTGAGTTGATTCCAACTCGTGGCAACCCTATGCGTGTCAAAGTAGAACTGTGCTCCACAGGGTTTTCAATGACTAATTTTTCAGAAGTATATCACCAGGCCTTTCTTCTGAGGTGCCTCCAGGTGGATTCAAACTGCCAACCTTTGAGTTAGTAGCCAAACATGTTAATCATTTGCACCACCCAGGGATTCCAATGTAGAACTTAGTGAATTATTAATATAAGGCAAAACCCTGATAACCACTACCCAGGTCAAGAAACAGACTTTGTTGTTGGGAGAAGCAATCTGGCAATGGTCCTGGGATTTCCCTGCACTTTATTATTGGGTATTATGGATTGAATTATAACCAAAAATATGTATTGGAATCCTAACCCCTATACCTGAGGATGTAATCCCATCTGGGAATAATCTGATTCCATAGCACAGCATTCCATATAATGATACTCAGAAACCCTTGAATACACCCTCCATCCTCCTATCTCACAGTTTTTACCACCTAGAATAAACACAGTGTGTAAGAGAAAGAAAACAAATTTTGGAGTCAGACGGACACAAACATTAGCTCTGTTACTCACTACTCATATATCCTCAGACTAGTTATTCTCAGAGCCTGTTTCTGTATTTGGAAAATGGAGATAATAGTATCACCTCTAAGGGTTACTATATGAACTTCCACCATACCCCATCTCTACCTGTTGAAACTCTAATCATGCTTCAAGGCCCATATCAAATAAATGACACCTCCTTGAGGATCTTTTCTTTGGGTAAAAAGTCAACATCATCCCTGCTTTTGCTCATACATCTGATTTATTTGGCCATTTTACTATACTTTATTGGTGCATACTTCTAACTCTTTCATTAGACTATTCATTTCAAGGTTCTGGAACTGTCCTGTCTATAACAGTATCTCAAAGTGTTTAGTTAAGGTCTTTGCCTACACAAAACAAGCACTTAAAAAAGGTCTGTTAAAATGGCACAGATTACAAACTGGTTAATATTGATTCTAGGTCATCATCTGGACATACAGCATAAGAACATAGTTGCTGTCATGAAAACAGTATACGCAATAACATTTCATGCAGTCCAAGCAATATACCTTCATACTAAATTGAATCACTTTCTGGGGGAAAAAAAAAGGAAGTTTTCCTCATGTCCAGGACAAAATTATGTGGAAGAAATGGGCCTTTGCACTAAATTAAAATGCTACTTAATAGTTTAAAATAGAACATTATGGGGAATCTTTCCATGAATATTTTCGTAGTTAAGAATTATCTCCAAATCAGTCTGTGGATACAAACGAGGCCTCATTGAACAGGTTTGATGGCTTTCATTAGCCCGGCAATCTCCGACTACAGAAATGCAGACCCTTGGCATCCTTTCTGGGTTCTGTTCCCCATCTAGTATCTTGGAAGGGTCACCAGGGATGTCACAATATTACCACAAATCAGTCCCATGCACTTCTCATACCCCTGCCTGCAATACTGCCATCAATGGCGTATTTCCAGCACTCCACTATAAAATAAAGAGGAAAGAGTTCTCTTTCCATTGACTTTACTGGCTCTTATAGAAGGATCAAACAAGGACTGCTTGGAATATGGCCTCTTTATCATCCCTGAAGCACACGTAAAAAACAACACTGGGACCCAGAACCATCCAGCCCACAGGCCTTGATGAGAGTTCAGTTTCTCTTTCTTCCCTCAAGGTGGTTTATACCCCAGGTCTCACAGCCCCCACATGATCAGGATTCTGCCATGTCTTCCCATTCCGCCTGTGTACATTTGTCTGAACATGAATTGCTGACACTGTTCCAAGTTCTCTTCCCAGGAAACGCCTCAGCTGCCACGTCTGTCAGCTAAAATAAATAAAAGTGGGAAGGTGTACTCCAGTCCTAATATCACCACCTCCACTTAGGCTTAAACGAGACACATTCTGTAATAGGTGCTGAATACCCACTCAGCCAGCAGTTGTTAAGTCTACGGAACCAGATCCCCTGGGTTCAAATTCAACCAGACTTGAAAATCTATGCCCTTAACCATAACCTCATGCCACCTAGTTAAAAGATATGTGTGTCAAGGCTAGGCACTATAAAATGGGAACCACGGTATACCAAAGCCAAAAAAACCTGCCACCCCAGTATTTGTCTACTGACCTATAACTGTAACATTTAGAGTTACATATCATAATCTAATAATGCTAATAAAACAAAGTCCAAACTCACCAAATGCTGCAGAATGATATGAGTTCTTCTGAATGAATTAAATCTGAAACAAAAAGTAGAATAAATACAATGCACATAGTAATGTGAGTAGTCATGTCTCAACTTACAAATACTATATTCTTTTTCCCTTTAGCTTTTTTTAAAAGGTATTACAACAATGGTAACAATTGATCTCTACTCGCCTGGAGCAATGGAGGAAGGAGAGTCAGGAATAGCAGGAGAAAATGAAATGTATAGCTAATTGCCTCAATGAACAACTGCCTCCTTTGCCAAGAGACCAGAAGAACTAGATGGGGCTCAGCTACTGTTAACATTTTGATGAAATATTCTATAGAAGAATCCTATCAAAAGGGGAAAAATATAGAACAGAATTTCAAGTTCTTATGGACTCCAGATTTTCTGGAACCATGGAGGCTGGATGAACTCCTGAAACTACTGCCCTGAGATAATCTTTAAACCTTAAACCAAAAATATCCCCTGAAACCAAATAATAGTTTGGTTTAGCTTAACTAGTAAAGAATATCTGCCTTGAGCATTGTTCTCTTTTAAGACTTATACAGGACCAAACAGACAACAGCAACTCAAAAGATTAGACAGGAAACTTAGGGTCAGTGAACTTATGTTAAGGGAGGAGGAACAACTTAGAAAAGGAGGGTGAGAAAGGTTGCATAACTTGAAGAATGTAATCAATGTCACTGAATCATAATGTAGAAATTGTTGAATTGGTGTATGTTCAGCTGTGTATATCCTCAAAAAAATAAAACTAAAAAACGTATTACAACAAAATTTTTTTAAAAAATAGGTTTGTAAAGATTCAGTGAAATTTTCATATGTAGAATGTCTGCATTCTCAGACATTGTTGATAGATATATAAATTGGTATTGCCTTTCTAGTAGGCAATCTGGAAATACAGAGCTACTACCTTTAAAATGACCAGGGCTTTAAGCCTAGTAATTACAGAAGCACCTATACTAAGGTAATCTTGGAGATATGATCAAAGTTTGATTTATGAAGATGGCGTGACAAATAGGAAAACTGGAAACAATGTAAATGTCTGTAATAGCACAATATTTTAAAATTATGTCATTTATACAAAAGTATTACACAGCCACTAAAAATATTTCTTCGCTGGTGTTAGGTGCTGTCAAGTTGGTTACGACTCATAGCGACCCTCTATTAACAACCCCATGACATATCAACACTCTCCTATGTTCTGGACCTTGGGTTCCCTATTACCAGTTTTCCTGTCCCCTCCTGCCTTCTAGTCCTTGTCCCTGGGTTGGTGTGCCCCTTTAGTCTCGTTTTGTTTTATGGGCCTTTCTAATCTTTGGCTGAAGGGTGAGCCTCGGGGGTGACTTCATTACTGAGCTAAAAGGGTGTCTGGGGGCCATACTCTCAGGGTTTCTCCAGTCTTTGTGAGTTAGAATTTTGTTCTACATTTTCCTCCAGCTCTGTCTGGGACCCTCTTATTGTGATCCCTGTCAGAGAAGTCAGTGGTGGTAGCTGGGCACCATCTAGTTGTACTGGACTCAGTCTGGTGGAGGCCATGGTAGCTGTGGTCCATTAGTCCTTTGGACTAATCTTTTCCTTGTATCCTGTCCTCTTCATTCTCCCTTGCTCCTGAAGGGGTGAGACCAGTGGAGTATCTTAGCTGGCTGCTCATAGGCTTTTAAGACCCCAGATGCTACTCACCAAAGTAGAATGTAGAACATTGTCTTTATAAAGTGTGTTATGCCAATTGAGCTAGATGTTCCCAAGACCATGGTCCCCATAGCCCTCAGGCCAGTAATTTGGTCCCTCAGGGAATTTGGATGTGTCTGTGGAGCTTCCATGACCTTGTAGACTGGCATACTTTGAATCTGCCTTAAGAGAAGTACTCTTATCCTAATCCAGTGATTACACAACTTATCCGCACATTAGAATCACCTGGGAAATCTTATTAAAAATTCCAAAGCCCAGGCCACGTCCCAGACCACTTAAATCACAATCTCTGGAGGTGGGTCTGAGACATCAATTTTTTTTTTTTTTTGGTGAAGCTCCCCCAAATGATTTCAAAGTGCACGCAAGTAATGTCCTAGTCATTAAAATCAATACTCATAAAAATCAAACTAAAGAGACAGATCCTAGCTTATGTAGGGGTATTTTCTAAATAGGGTTTTCATAGACTTTTAAAATCTGAACTATACTTATCCTGAAGCACTATTCTGAAAAGTTTTTTCAACTTGACTCAATTTTATTTTTTGAGACTTTTTTAAGTACCAAAAAATGTAAGAGCTAATTTTAGACCTAGAATGACTCTGAATTCCCCAATAAGGCCAGTACCCAAATGCCAATTCAAGGTTAAAGAAGTGCTGCCAGATTGGCAAATCTTTAAGTACAACCTGCAGAATAAAGAATACATATAGAGGAAAACAGAAATCTAGCTTCAGGAGCCACTTTTATTTGTGAGACAGAATTTTTATTTCACTCAAAGGAAGTTAACCTACCAAAGGCAGGTGCAAAGCGCTATGCAAGGCCTTTACGGGTCACTTCGGAATCGACTCCATGGCAACGGGTTTGGTTTTTTTGGTTTTTAAGTACAACTAAGTTTCTTGCCAGATTCTATATAAAGTTTCCATTTGTTCTAATTCATACTCAGTTGTTACTTAAAATCTGATATTAACTTTTGTATCTCAAAAATGTATTTGGAAAAAAAATTATTTGGAGTATTCAGAGTCTCCAAGTAATTTTTAATTTCTCATGGTCTGTTTTTCTTTCTATTCGCTCCTAAACCATGTGATGGAAGGAAGAGGGACTGCATATCCACCTACTGCTAATTTGTTAATTCACTTTATCAGGCTTATTTCTTTCAGGTGATGGTCAACTCGCCACCTTGGACGTTGTTCTCAAAGTGTGTCCCTGGACCAGCAGCAACAGCACCACCTGGGAATTTGTCAGAAATGAAAATTTTCAACCCCAACCCAGACCTACTGAATCAGAAATTCTGGGACTGGGGTCCAGAAATCTATGGTTTACCAAACCCTCCAGGTGATTCTGATGCCCTCTTAAATTAAAAATTACTGTTTTCTTAGAAAGTCCAGAACCCTATCATTTAGGAATTTTTTGCAATTATCTAATAAAATAAACATAGGCTCACAAAATTAAACAATTTTTCATGAAACTATTTGAGCAAGAGAATGATATAATGAAAGTAGTAATAATGAAGATTATTGCACCAGAAGTAGGAAAGGTAAAATACAGAAGAAAATCAAGTCCAGGAGGAAAGTAATCCAGGCATGAGCTGATGAAGAACAGCAGCTGTGGAAACGGAACAGAATGATTTATTGAGAGTTATCATGAAGTAAAAACTCAATGAAAGAGAAAAGAAATATGTCAAAATGACTCCAAGATTTCAAGCCAAAACAGCTAACCTAGAAAGGCTGGAAAGATTGCTGGTTCGCAGAATGAAACATGAGTTGAATTCTGAATTTCTTGAGTTTGCACTGACATAAGTGGAAATATTCAACAGCAAATGAAGAGACTAGCGCTTGAAAGAAAAGAAAGGACTAAAGACATGTCAGAAGTCACACGCATAGACAACTCCTGAGGCATAAGAACCTCCCAGCTCTGTATAAGGAATAAATAAGAAAGCAGAGACTGAAAATTGGTGGCCTGAAACCTGCCTGGGTCTGCAAATGTTGTTTGGTCAGCACAGTGTTTTAAAACTACAAACATTTAAAAATTAAAGAGATTCACCTGAAAATACAGTTTTCTGGCTTTTCTAGGAAAAAAAAGGTAGTTATGGAAATAGTGAGTCTACATTCTACAACGGCAGCAATGGCCTGGGGCTGAGAAGCTGCCTCCTTCAGACACGGCACTCATTCTCCAGTCCACCAGTCTCCACTTAGTTCCCAGGCTGCCATGTACCAGCAGCATTCAATGCTTCTTTCTGACCCCTGCAAGCATTTGGGGTTTTGACTCCTAGAGTAAACAGAACAGAGAATCAAAGATTGAGCCTGCAAAAACACCTGCTAGAAGTAAAAGAGAGCTAGAAAACAAGCAGCCCCAGAAACAAAAGCAAAATAGTGTAGTTCAGCAGAGTATCGAGCAGATGAAGAACAGAATGAGTATTACTAATGGCTTAAGGATAAACCTCTTTGAAGAGGGTCTCTTTCCCTATCTAAATTAACCAGTTGCCACTGACTCTGACTCATGGTAACTCCATGTTTCTCAGAGTAGAACTGTGCTCCATAAGGTTTTCAATGGCTGATTTTTCAGAAGTAGATCACCAGGCCTTTCTTCTGAGGCACCTTTGAGTTAACCAGAACAGCCAACCTTTTGGTTAGCAGCCAAGCACATTAACCATTTGCACCTAAATTAAACCCATTGCCATCGAGTCAATCTGGACTCATATCGACCCTATAGGAGAGAGTAGAACTGCCCCAAAGAGTTTCCAATTAGTGCCTGGTGGATTCAAACTGCCACCTTTTTGGTTAGCAGCTGTAGCTCTTAACCACTATGCCACCAGGGTTTTCATGCCTAAATTAGGTCCCTCTAAATTCAGCTCTCTCGTAACTGTATTTTTCCTTTAAGACACTTATCAGAGTTGGTAACTTACCAGAGTTGGTAACTAAATACTACATTTGCTTAAATATGTTTTATGTGTTCTCTCGTTTCACATTTCAAGGATCCATAAGGAAAAAACAGTAAGGACATCAAGTACTCCAGACTGGCTACAAAATAGTAACAGAAGTGCTTGAATAGTGCCTTCCATCAGTTAGAACAGAACATGTACTGTTGAATTCATGAAGTACACTGGAGCCAAATCTTTCAAAACCTGGCTGGGAAGTTTTTATTTCTTCTCTACGCAGGAGGGCACCTCTGAGAGCTTATGAGCAGAGGAATGGCAGGTACTGAAGTAGACTTCAGGAAGATTAAATCTGACAATCATGTGCAGAACCTTCTCAAATTGGGGTCCATCAATTAAGTTTCTGCAGAATGAACAAATGATAAATTTCAGACTGTTCACATTTGACTCAGTAGGAAGAGATAGGTTTGTAGGAAGACTTAGATAACTTTAGGAATCTAGAAGAATGATAGCGACAAGAGGAACAGAAATTGAGAGAAAGTGTAGATGAGTAAGGTTTACACATAAATCTGAGGTGTAAATGAGACATTCAAGTGGTTGTGACTAGCACTAGAGCTCAGGGTTAATCAGCATTAGAAATACAAATTTTCGAATTAACTTCAGAGAGGTGAGGGGTGATTTATTTGGGAACACATAAAATTTCCCAGGGCCGAATTGGCAAGACAGTGCCGGAAAAGCCACGTAAGACCAGAGTTCAAAGAGAGGGTGTGCCCGTCAATGTCAACCATGGCCCAAAACCATTGCCATCGAGTTGATTCCAACTCACAGCGACCCTAAGACAGAGGAGAAGTGCCCCATAGGGTTTCCAAAGCTGTAATCTTTACAGAAGCAGATTGCCACATCTTTCTCCCACGGAGCATCTGGTGGTTTCGAACGGCCGACCTTTCGGTTAGCAGCCGAGCATTTAACTACTGCGCCACCAGGGCTCTTCCATCCATAGCAGAAAGGCCTTTTTTTTTTTCCTAGAAACAGTTCCCACAGCACCCTATCCCTTTATATATCTGTGGGTTCGGCTACTGTAGACCGATGACCTTGGCCTCAGGGCTTTGCTTCAGCGGGTTTCTACCCACTCCAGGGCCTGCCTTAGGGAAGGCGTCTCTGATCGAAGCCCCAAAACTCAGCTAGGCCTCACCTAATCAGTCTGCATCATGAAATGTCGTGTAGAATGAAGTCACGCTCAATGGTAGGAATAAAAAATTCTTTTCCAAATAAATTACTCGTTAACAAACATGTTGTTCCAATTTGTTTCTCAAATAATTTGGTCTTTGCTCACAATTTCAAAAGAGCAGCAGCAATGATTACGTAAACTGTGATTTTCTTAGTATTTTCTAAGTCTCTCCATAAGCTGATTGGAGGTGCAGGGACAACTAATTTCAAGGTCTTAAAAAAAAAAAAAAGTAATCATTCATGTAACAAATATTTGAGAGCAAGGTCTGTGGATACAATGTTGAACAACTAGACAGGTTCTCCTAAAGCAATCTATGTCAAAGAAACACTCCCATTCCCATGCAGGAACCCATCAAGGCAAATACAAAAGAGCTGAACCAAACCAAAACCAAATCTTTTGCGGCTGAGTCCATTCCTACTCACAGCGACCCTATAGAACCCAGTAATTTGTTGAAATGGTTTCTCCTTCAAGCGTCTACAGCTGAAGTTACTGATGTTACCTGGTGTTACTGATGCCAACCTAACTGCTACCAGATTTCCTCTGCTGAGCTCAAGATGAACTGAGTTGCACTTTCAACAATTAAACACAATGTTTGTACACATACCCCACCAAGCCAAGTGTCCTCAACACTAGCCTGAAAGTTCCCGACGCCTGCATTAACTGCTGCAGCCTTTCCATTATGCTGAACAATAAAGTCACACCGTCAAACCACGAACACAGGTGCAATAATTGGCAAAGCATGTGTGTTTGTTAGCTGCACAAAACGTACCTTAAAATATGTTCCTCTGACTGAATTGCTGGGCGGAGGGCTGTGGGGACCATGGTCTCGGGGAACATCTAGCTCAATTGGCATGACACAGCTTACAAAGACAATGCTCTACATTCTACCTTGGTGAGTAGTGTCTGGGGTCTTAAAAGCCTGTGAGCGGCCATCTAAGATACTCCACTGGTCTCATCCCTTCGGGAGCAAGGGAGAATGAAGAGAACAGGTTACAAGGAAAAGATTAGTCCGAAAGACTAATTGCCCACAGTTACCAAGGCCTCCACTGGACTGAGTCCAGTACAGCTAGATGGTGCCCGGCTACCACCACTGACTGCTCTGACCAGGATCACAACAGAGAGTTCTGGACAGATCTGGAGAAGGATGTAGAGCATAATTCTAACTCACAAAAAAAAAGACCAGATTTACTGGCCTAAAGGAGACTGGAGAAACCTCGAGAGTATGGCCCCAAGACACCCTTTTAGCTCAGTGGTGAAGTTACCTCCGAGGTTCACTGTTCAGCCTGGGAGTGGACAGCCCCATAAAACCAAATGAGACTAACGAGGTACAGGAGTTCAGTGACAAGGGCCAGAAGGCAGAAAGGGACAAGGAAGCTGGTGATAGGGAACGCAAGGTTGAGTAAGGATATTGTGGATGTGTTGTGAGATTGTTAACCATTGTCATAGGACAACATGTGTAGTAACTGTTAAATGAGAAACTATTTTGTTCTGTAAGCCTTCATCTTAAGTGAGAATAACAGCACAATTGGAAGAGTGTAGTTAATGTCACTGAACTGTGTATGTAGAAATTTTTGAAATGGTGTATCTTTGGCTATGTGTATTTTCACCAAAAAAAAAAAAGGTTGAGAATTTAGAGGGTTAATATGTTTTGGGGTTGTTAACCAATGTCATAAAACAACATGTGTACTACTGTTTCATGAGAAACTATTTGTTCTGTAAGCCTTCACCTGAAGTACAATAAAATAAAATAAAAAAAGAAAAAAAATATGTTCGTCTAAGTTAATCTCCGCCATATCCCCAAACTATACTCAACTATGAATAAAAAAATGAGAGGAAGTCGTGAGGAGGTCAAGACTCAGTAAGAGTCAGAGCGCCAATAAAGGAAGGTGTTGTAGCAACGAAGGTACTGGTGGAAGAAAGGGTAAGTAATGGAGGAGGGCCGAGGGGCTCGGGACAGACACCGAGGCCAACAGGCAGGCCGGGGCTAGGGTCCCAGAGCTGCGCCTTGGGAGGTAGGGGGTACGGGGTGGAGAATAAGGGGAGCGGGCGCCTCAACACTTCGCGGCCAAAGAGTCCCCACCCCCGACTCTTTTCCCCAACTTTGGCGGACGACGCTAACGAAGCTGCCCTTGGCCGCTCACTCACTCACTCACTTTGACGTGAGGCGCCACACCTCCGACAGTCCCATGACCACAGCACTCGGGAGCCTCGAGCAGGTGGAAGCGGAGCACCTGGATCACCCCACGCGCCTCACCGGCCTCACGTCAGTCCCCCTGGCTGCCACCCAGCTACGCCCAGCGCCGCCGGACAGAGGTTGACAAGTCCTCCAAGCGGCCAGAGCGGCCCACGGCGGCCTTCTTCCGCTACGCAGGGCCGAGGGGCGGAGCGAGAACCACAGACTGAGGATGTGGTGGTGGGCGTGGGGAGAAGGAATGGGGCGGGCCCTTGGGCGGGGCCAGAGGTCGCGGGGAGAGAGAACGCGGAGAGAAATATGCGGCGCGGAGTACGGGAACGGAGGGAAGAGAAGTTGGCCGATTGGGAAGAGAAGAGATTACCGTCTAGAGGCTGTTTTGGGAAAAGTCCAACTGGCCTCAATGGCCTTTGTCGCTGAGTACACTGCGACCATATAGGACAGAGAACTGCTCCATAGGGTTTCCAAGGAGCGGCTGGTGGATTCAAACTGCCAATCTTTTGGTTTGCAGCCATAGCTTTTAACCTCTGCGCCACCAGGCCTCTTGGTTGGCCTAGGCTAAACAACAACCAAAAAAAAACCGCTGCCATTGATTCAATTAGGCCAATAGCGACCATACAGGACAGTATAATTGTCCCGTAGGATTTCCGAGGTTGTAAATATTTACGGAAGCGGACTGCCACATCTTTTTAACCACAGATTTTTCTGTTAGTAGCCGAGCACTGAGCCACCAGGGCTCCAGACTAGGCTAAACCTGCATAATTTGTCTACAAGGGATTGACGTGAAAGAAATTTCTGGGATACTAATGTTTTTAATTAAAAGTTAAACTTGATATTCTTTTCTTTGAGAGTCAAGCAAATGAAAATACACTTGATAACAGGAGAACGCTGACGTAGTTTATTCCTAACCCAGCGTACCAGAATTTCCTTCACATTAGGATTGGGACATTTCCAGTTTCCTTGGAAAAGTTATAGATCCCTCTACTTCATCAACGACACAGAATTACTAAGAAGTAATATGTTTTCACCATCTAAACTAAAAGTTACTGTTATCACTGTAAGTGTAATTACATCCCAAGAGTAGTTTACTCTTAAATGAAACCAGGATTTAACTCATCTACTAGGATCCACTATTAAATTAATCCAGGAGAATGTTTCTCTGCATCCAGCTCCACCCAGATATCCTGCATCAAACATTCATCAACACTAAAATTTGACACATTTAATATCAAGAGGGAATTCTGTGAAGAATTTCAGGGAGAAGGAAGTTAAGGGAATTATTCTGATATTTAAGAAGATACTCTTGTCAGGCATTTGATTGAAGACTGCATTTCTAACCTAGGTTAGATAACCAAGTGCTCACTGAAAAGAAAAGGAGAAATAACAGATATCACAACTAGAACTTTTGACCTGCAATTCAGTTTTTAACCAACTACAAGACATCACCGTTTGACAGCACCATCATGTCAAATTCAGTGTGTACAAAAATGAACTGCTCATCTGATCCAGCGTGGTTTACTAGAAAGTCTGGGTTTTCCTGTTAGACAGACTTAGATAAAAATCTTCCTTGTCCCTCTACCTTCATGAGCATGTGACTTGTGTAGCCCAAGGTCCTATACATAGATTAATTAAAAAAAAAAAAAAAAAAAAGTTGCCATTTAGTTGACTCCTACTCATAGCAACTCCATGTGTTTCAGAGTTGAACTGTGCTCCATAGGGTTTTCAATTTTTCAAAAGTAGATCACCAGGCCTTTCTTCTGAAGTGCATCTGGGTGGACTGGAACCACCAATCTTTCAGTCAGTAGCCCAGCGCATTAACTGAGAAGTGCAGCCTGCCTGCAGGCTCGGCCAAGAAGGAGCTGAAAGCTGTCTTGGTAGGAAGCTGTCCTGATTGATAAACTGTATCCTGTCTCCTGAGTTGTTCCTGTTATTTCCAAGTTGATCCTGATCTCGAGTTGTAGCCTGTTACTTACCTAATAAACCCCATAATCGTGAGTATGGCCTGTGAGTTCTGCATGGACATTGCAATGGATTATCAAACCCAGTAGAGAAGTAGAGAGTGCCATGGGGAGGACGGCTGGTGTCAGAATTGGTAAAAAGTTGGAGAGTGGAGGTATGTCTGATCTCAACCTCATAGGAATCAACTTTGGGCTGCTGTTGATTCTCATTATCCCCCCTTGAAGTTAGACGAGGTCAGATGCTACCACATTACAATCCTAAAGGCCTATATCAAGTTTTATCTTCCTGGAAGAGTCTTACTCCAGCCTGTACTGAAATCTCCTTTTCTGAATTCCATTTAAACTTCTAATTAGTATCAGAGTTCATCACTCACTTTTTGCCTAATTGTTGGATGTGTTAACCTTCTCTCTCTAACAAATTATACATTCCTCGAGGGTGGGCACTGAATCTTACATTTTGTTTGAATCTTTCAAAAACTAGTGCTGGGGACACTGTAAGCAGGCATACAAATTTGATGTACTAATTTACCAATTAGGAAAGAGGTTTTCTGCACAAATAACTCTGTGTGTGTTTTAATCATTGGAAACCTGGCATGAGTGTGGAAAATAAGGTTGTAAAATTTATTTGTCAAAATACAAGTGGCCTCTGAATTAAGTACCCACAACATGTGAAAGATTGTCCAGAAGCCAACACAGTGGCAGAATGGCAGGGAAGTGACTCTCCCTGGTTGGAAATCATACTCTCAGCTCCCTACAGCACTTCTCTTAAGGCACTTACTGTCTACTCCCTTGTATTGTAGGTGTGGGATGAGCAGTCTTATGGAAGTCTCTTAGGGGCCTGTTGGACCCCAAGGTTTGGGTAGTGCCTTAAATTGAGTAATGAAATCTTCTGGATCCTTTCCTTTCCCTTTTACTTAGTACCCAGAGCAAGTTAACTAAGCCCTTCTGCAAGGCTAATATTTAGGTAGTAAGCCAATAAGACCATATGATTGATAAACCTTGAAATACTTCCATGTCACTTGGTAAACAGTCATGGGCCACTGCCAGCTAACTCAGCTGCTCTGGCCCCAAGGAGCTCCAGGTGGGTACTGCTAAGGAAGCCAACCTAGCACCACATAGCTAGCTGGCCACAGCTATCTAACCACTAGGTTCCTTTCCCATGTGGTCATAGTGGACCCAGATCCTTGCTGGAGAGATACCACACCTGGCCATAGTGCTTGCATACCAGAAGGCATATACCTGCATATGCCTGATGCCTCTCAGGCTGCTCCTCCCAAGGCTAAGACTGCCTGCTACAGGCAAGCATGCTCCTAGAACTGCCTTCACAGGACTGCAGTATACCATAGCTGTTTGATACTTTGAGTATTACTCTTGTCCTTTTGTATGCTTGTGCTAATCATTGTTGCAATCCAATGAACAGGATTGGACCATATGCATTATAGTGGAGTTATTGCAAGAATCACATAGACAAAAATTGGACCTGAAAAACATTAGAAATAGAGCCACATCTGGGGCTTTGTTCTTCTCTATCTCCCTCTCTGCTTGGTTACATGGAATCTCAAGCAGGCTAGTGAGATGTTTGCTTCTCTCTTGGTGCTTTGTCTAGTCATTGAGCACCTATTAGGATCCAGGTGCTGTGTTAGGTGCTGGACCCCACAGCTCTGGAACTGTGGGGGAACATAGTAGGGCTACTGTCATGGATTGAATTGTGTCCCCCAAAAGTATGTATCAACTTGGCTAGGCCATGATCCCAGTATTGTGTGAATGTCTACCATTTTGTCAACTGATGTGATTTTCCTATGTGTTGTAAATTCTACCTCTCTGATGTTAATGAGATGGGATTAGCGGCAGTTATGTTAATGAGGCAGGACTCAATCTACAAGATTAGGTTGTATCTTAAATCAATCTCTTTTGAGATATTAAAAAGACAAGCAAGCAGAGAGACATGGGGACCTCATACCGCCAAGAGGGCAGCGCTGGGAGCAGAGCGCACACTTGGACTCGGGGTTCCTGCACTGAGGGGCTCCTAAACCAGGGGAAGATTGATGACAGGGACCTTCCTGCAGGGCCAACTGAGGGAAAGGGCCTTCCCCTGGGGCTTGTGCCCTGAGTTCAGACTTCTGGCCTACTAGACTGTGAGAGAATGGATTTCTCTTTATCGGAGCCATCCACTTGTGGTATTGCTGTTGCGGCAGCAATAAGTAACTAAGACGGCTGCCTTTTATAGTCTAAGAATATAAGAAGGCTTTCCAAAAGAAGTGACTATTTTAGATACAAAGAATCTCTGTATAGGTAGAACATAACATGTTAGTCCCAGCATTCTGATAGTGGCACTAGAGAGGTAGGAAGGGATCAGGCCACAAAGGGCCTGTGAAACCACCTTAAAGGTATTTAAGCAATAATATGGCATGATAATATTTTAAATCTATCAGTCTCATGTTGAAATATGGCCAGTGGGTTAAAGGGTAGCATTTCTGGCTCACTCCACTTCTCCCTATATCTTTTGTGCACCTTCATACTAACTTGACTTGCAAGAGGCTTTGACTTGCCTTGCTTGGCTTGTCTGAAACCAACTCTATGACAGCATCTCACAATATCACTTTTAAAACAGTTATTTTCTAACTTACTTATTTTGCCTCTTTCACACTTGCTTACTGGCCAGTTTGTTTCTCAATTTCTGAACTCAGAAGAAGAACCTGATTAACCTAGTTTACTTTTTTTGAGCTCTGACATCATGGCCACTTTGAATCAAGAGGCCATGGGGTAAATGTTGAAATGACAAATGTTTTGTTACGTATATATTTGCCACAATTAAAAAAAAAAAAAAAAGGCCATGAGTCTAATTATCTGTTTGGAGAGTGGGAACGTTCATAGGTTCCAAGAGTATTGGGTTTGGCAGGCAATGATGGCCTATTTTTCTGATCATCAACCAGCACCCATGCTCAGAGTATCAATTCAAATAGCAGCTGATAAAGGTGGGAGCATTAATAAGATACCCGTTACCATGAAGTGGATTTCAACTCAAGTCGATTCCAACTCATACCAACCCTATAGAACAGAGTAGAACTGCCCCATAGGGTTTCCAAGGCTGTACATCTTTACGGAAGCAGATTGCCACATTTTTCTCCCACGGAGCCGCTGGTGGGTTAAAA